TTTTTTAAATACATATTCGAAATGTCTAAATAAATTAGTAGCATAGACTCATAAATAAATAATTCAATAAATAGTTTGGGCGCTTAAAAGTATGCAATAAATATTTAAATATAAAATTAAATTATAAACAACACAACGTCTGCTCGCTACTTCATACAATTTGTGTTTGTGAAATTAACTAACAATATCATATTTATATGTTTTTGTTGCGTTAGTTGCGTAAAATTACTTTAACACTAATACTAAACATCAAATTGAATTTAAACATTCAGACTACTTAGGCACAATTTTTGTTTGCTTTTTTTTTTGCGTTTTAGCTATGAATTTTCGCGCAATTTCCATTAACCCACCCAAAACTCTGTTGGAAGATTATCTAAAATTTTGTTGTTTTTGAAAATGCTGTCCTGTGTTTAATTTCAAGTGTCGCGTATGATTACATTGCGCCAAAAAGTATGCTATTAWGTGTAAACAAGCTCACTAATCATTCTTTAGCATAGATTTAAGTGGAAAATTGCGTGCGCGCCAAAGCTACAGGCTTCAATTAAGATAAACAAAAACATTAGCATACCCACAGGCGTTGACTACCTACTTTCACATATACCTGACAACAGCCATATGTAGGGTAGCTATTTTGGTAGCGCACGCTTTTACAAAAGCTATGATCATTATGTGCGATGAGCAAGTGTAGAAATTCTTAAACTGCAAAAAAATATCAAACAAGAGGAATACAGCGTTGACTGTGGAAAAGTTCAATTTCTCTACCGCTTATCATTTATGTATGCCTGTGAGAAGGTACACCTTCCAAGCGACTAAGCAATAATTTTTTCCTCGCTTTGGATAACTGAATTTTTGCGCAATTTCTCATTTCRCTCGCCCACTCTCTTGCTTTTTAGTGTGCCTTATAACGGCATATATACGAGTAGTATACATTTCGGCGCTAGCATTGCGCTGACTTTAAAATCTCATTTTGCACACATTTTCGTTTTTGCTTTTTACATTTTCGCCATTTTCATATTTTTACATAAATCTCTTCTACTTCTTGTTTTTCCACATAATTTTCACTAACTTCATATTTACTAGGCTTGTTGTTGTTGCGCGCTGTTTGCACGCACTTACATATCTATCTTCTATGTATGTGTATATGTAATCGTTTTGTATACCTAACTAACTGTATTTAATATGTATAATGACAATGTTGGTATTGTTATTGCTATTGCGTTGCTTTATGTACTTTTGTTGCTGTTGTTGGTGTTGTGGCTCCGACTGTTGCTTTCGCTGTGCGCTGTGCGGGTCATTTATTTGACACCCGTTATGCTGCGCAGCCACGGTTTGTAGAATGTCGTACGCATATATACACCGGGCAGATATGGCGCCGCACATTTGATACCGTGCGATACAGTGCCGGCTAATTCGTAACGACCATCAGGTCGCTGCAGCACCAATGGACCACCGCTGTCACCCTGTTAATGTGTGAAAGTGTGTGATGGAAGAATGGAAAAAATGGTATTATTARTATTATTATTGTCTATATTTACTGTGGCGTTGCCACATCTTTGTTTTAAT